TATTCATTGTTTCATCTCCTATCACAATATCAACAAACACAGCATGTGAACATCCGTGATCATTCTTAAACAACATTTTTTTCACACCAATTGGCTGTAGCCTGTTTTGGTTTTGGGAAAATAATGAAGAATGCAGCAATATCATGTTTAAATGTTCATGTAATTTTTTTATTGGTTCAGAGCAATACCCAAATAACTCTTTAGGACAGCCAAGCCAAGAAAACAAACTTGAGTACTAACGTTACCTGCAATTGTATAGAACTACTGCAGCAGCTTTGAATTCCGCATATTATTCGTACATGAATATTTAATTGGTAATATAAAATATCTTCATTAAAAATACAAATAAATGTATTCATTTAAAGTACAATATAAAAAAGTTTATTTATGCGTAGATAATTAATAAATATTAAGTAAGCTATTCCCACACGTGAATACAGACTAAAGCGTTATTTGATGTTTTTATTACTCTCTGTTTTTATTGAACAGTTTTGGGTGAAAAAATTACACTCAACGGCGTTATGTAAAAACGGCGTAATGTTTGCTGATGCTCTCGATATTTGAAGCTTTATCACAGGAGCTGATTGTATCGGTTTTCAATTTGGCAGTTTTGCCCGCAATTGAATTTGAAGGCAATTTCTCTTTTGTGAGAGTTACATTTTTTACGTTAGTCTTGTTACAAATTTAATCTGTAAAAAACTTTCAAATAAATATTGTTCAAAAATCTATCATAAGTCATAATCATCATCAACACATACTACTCAACAGCTGGATATGGAACTCTTGTGTACAGGTAGAATTTGCCAAAAATACTAATTGCCATAAACTAAATACCCTTTACACCAAAAATCGACAATCCAGACCAAGCATGACGATTAAAACAAATCTTCCCTACAACGGGAAAAACCGACTAGATCTTTACCGTCTGATAAAAGAGTATATGGGAACACAAGAATATCATTATTAATTTATTAAAGGCTATCCATGTCCAACGCTAAACATTGACTTCCACATAGATTGTCACAAAAGGGGGATTTTTGCCACAGCTGCCACGCTTGGTAACGGGTTAGCAAATGCAGTTGTTTTTAATTTTACGATAACCACGATATGAGGTAGGTAATGTAAATTCTTAGACCTACTTAGGTCTATGGTGAGTAACTATTTCAACAATTTTGTTCACAGATTATTTGAGTAAATACAATTTTAACATCCTGAAAATAATATTACCACAATAACAATACATCTCCAGATGTATTGTTATTGTGGTAATTTTGTTTTTCATAGAACGCTAACAACGTCAATCTCAGGTATCGGTAACAATAATTAATTAGCAATGCTGTCGACACCTGAAATTTTCTTACTTAATCTTAAATTTAGTAATTTTTCCGAGTGTTGACGTTACCGCTAACTAATGGGTGCGTTTGGCAGAAAAAAGCGCTAGCAAGCGCTTGTAAGCAAAATGGCGATCGTAAGCGGTAAGCGCTGTCAAATCGTAAGTAGCTATTTTCCTCCAGGACACGATGTTAGTTTTAACCGGGGAACCCAACCTAATTTAAATATATGTTTGTAAAGTATTCATATTAAAAACTTACCGATCATGAATTTTTAATAACATATGTATGTCTATTCATGTCATTATATTACTTAAAACTAGGTAATATTGCACAAAACAACTTATAAACTCTACTTCAAAACAAACAAATTAAATAAGCAAAATGGCGGATTGTGTCAGCGCTACTGAAGTAGCAATCGTGTCCTGGCCGAAAACTATTTTGGCGCTTGTAAGCGCTTGCTAGCGCTTTTTTCTGCCAAACGCACCCAATGATAAAGTAGATGAGGAACCCCTCCCAACGGAAAAGGTAAAAGATTAGCTTTCTTTTATTTTATAGGAATTGTTGCGACAATTTTTAACAATCCCGCAGACGTCTTTTGTTTTGATTAGACTAGAAACTCATGAAGCGATATTTACCCGCGTCAGCAACGATAGCGGGACGGCAAAATGCGTAGAATAGAATAGATTTTTTTTATCCAATATAGATCAGATGTAATTCTTATTGAAAGGCATTTTTACTTTACCACTTATTCGGAAAAAATCACTATTCTGGGAACTCAGATGAAGTAAAAAAAGGTAGATATCGCATCTAGAACAAGAAACTGTAACCAATTTTATAACTTTGTGTGAGTCAGAGAAGTGTTGCCACTTTTTTTAAAAGTCCCTGAAAATCGAGATGCAACACTAAAACTAGAGTAATATGCGATGCAAATGTGAAAGTATAATATAATCAATAAGTTTTAATGAATTTCAACACTTAGAAAATTCAAAAAAAGATGAAGCACGTAGGAGGCATCTGTAGATCATTTATTCTTCTTGATAGATTGTCCAGTGAGCATGTAAGGATCGATAAAATGTACAACATATGAAAGGTAAAACATGTTTATTATAAAAAATAACTTAATACTAAAAAAATAGTTGGAATAAAAAATAAATTTCCATGGAATTAAAAATATACTTTTCTAATTGAAAAAAAAGTATATTTTAGTAAATGCAAAATAGACCAAATTCCAGCCGGGGGCACAAAGGAGTGTTCTAATTTGTACCCCGGATAGGAGAGATATGAAGTATCAGCCGGAGAGGACACCTGAGTCTCAGTTAAAAAGAGCAAGGCTGGTTTCGCCGTTTCCAGGTGGTAGTGGACAGCATTAAGATTGGAATGAAATGTCCTGATTCCCTTGAGATCCCGATTGAGAATTCCCCCTCCCCTCGCCCAGAATACGCGGAGCAGCCTAGGCACCCACGCTCAGGAGGAGTAAAGTAGCTTGGTCGTGGATGCTCAGCGCAGGATTCTCCGTCACTAGGAGTGAGGGTACCCTGTTGGGGGTAATTTTTATTTGATTCCGCTACGATGTTAAGGGGAGGGGGGAATTAGGCCTCCAGCCCAAGCGAAACGCCGAGGTAAACCTCTACTTCACACTGGTATTCTGTGAGGGCGTGGTACCATCCCGGGTCAAGCTGGGCCATCCATGCACCATCAATAGCCGCTGCGTGGCTCTACCACTGTCAAGTCAAAAGGATGGCTGCCATTTTGGTTCATTTCAGCTCAATCTTATAGCAGCTACCCTTCATTTTTTATAGGATGGGGTGACAAACTAACATACAGTCCACCTGATGGTAAGTGGTTGCTGTAGCTTATAGACATCTAAATCTATCCTCGATTACGAATCCTAATGCAGATGCATTGTCACCCGTGAGGACCAAGACCAAGAGAATGAATGCCTCGTTTCCAGTAAAAGGGTCTCCGGTTCTCTACACTCACCATACGAAACAGCAATATTAAAGCTACTTTTACGCTGGTATTCTGCGAGATCGTGGTCCTTCCCTGGTCGAGCAGACCCATTCGTGCTGTAACTATACTACTAATAGTATAAAACCATGCTACGGCTTTACCACGTAAAAAATTCATGTCTTATTAAAATATTCGTTGGTAGCCTAAAATCATAAATATTTTTGATAGTAAAATAGTTTGTAAGTACTCAACAATTAAAACAGAAACATCAGCGACTTAAAAAATTTAATATTTACCTTGACTTCAATTTGATGTAATATAATAATAACTAATTAAAAAAATATGCTTACTACATATATTTTTATAACTTAGCCTAAAATTAATTACTCAAATATTGGATTATAAATAAAATTTTGAAGTTCCCCACCATTCCTGTGTATGGAAAAAACTTTACTCAAGGTCAAAAGTCAAGAAAAAGAGTTTTTCGCGATTTTCAGCAAAACAGTAAGTTATTCAAACAAAAGTTGTAGTATGATCTAGATTATCCCAAAAAAATGTATCAATTTTTTTTCAATAATCCCGGCAGAGCCTGCAAAGGGTGTCTTATATTGTTAGACAGAATTTTATCGACCAAATCGGCGAAATATTATTAAAGATGGGCCAAGTTAAGAGTACCCTTAACCGACGCATATATATGAGTGTGAAAGGAGCGTCAAAGGTGTGTTTTAAATGGAAGTCCGTATTCTGAGCCTAATAAGCCTAAAAATAAGATCAATCAAGGTGACGATTTGTTTTGTAATTTGATAAGTACACCCTTTCCGAAGCTAAAATATAGTATATCCAATTACTGTTTCATGTAGATAAGTTTTGTTATACTTAAGAGAATTATTGATTCAACGCAGAACGTTGCGGTATAAATCCAACAGGTATAAATAGAACTTAATGTACCTATAGAATATACAATAAATGAATACCGTTCCAAAGGTATAGGAGCTCTTAGCCCTAACCTACCTTTAAAGGCTGCCTTTTCTAACAGAATATTCGCGGTTATCTTGAAAATATAGAACGAAAATATAAGAAAAAAGGGGATAGTTGTTATTGTTTATTACCTTAAAGAAAAATATAAAGGTTCCCGAGCGGCAGCTTCGTACCAGTAAGTGAAGCATAGAGCGGCCGCTTACTATTTGAAGGGAAAACCTGGTAAAAGGTGAAGGTAGTTGATGGATGGATAAAATGTCTAAGTGTAAACAAGGCAAATTGATCGAGACTTCAATTCCAATTATCATCAATATCCAATTAACGTGGATAGGATGATGGTCTGCTCGTTGATCGCCCTTATTTCTATAAAAAACTTACACCTGCCAAAACTGCCTTTTGTGTTGTTTAAGATTCTTGGTTTGATAGATTTTACGATATCGCTCTAAATCTATTAAAATAGCGAGCGATAAAGCGAGCGTATTATATTATTATTATTATTATTGTGGGGTATCTATATAGTTTTCTCATCTGGTTGGGATGTATAAATATATAATTATAAATGAAAATGAAAAGATAAATATACATAAATATCAATAACATAAAATAAATATGAAAATACATAAATAAATAAAAGCCCAACCGGCAAGCCCCGGCATCCATTTTGAGCGCGTGACATCACCTGATTTAGCTCCAGGTGACGAGTGATTCTCGCGCTCAAAATGGATGTCAGTGTCTTACATATGGTGGGTAGACACGTGATGGGGCGGTATTTGCTCGGGTCTGTGGTATCCTGATCTTTAGGAACTAAATGAGTGATCCCAGTAGTGAAGAGGCTCGGGAGCGACTTCTGATCGAGAGCCTCTTGAAACTGTCGGGCGAGCACAGCGTGACACACTACGAACCCCTTCAGCCAGTAATGATGCAGCCCGTCGAGCCCCGGACTTTTCCAGTTCGGGGCCCTACGGACCGCCTCAGGCACGTCTTCAGGCGTTATGGTGACGGGGTCCATAGGCGTAACACTTGCACTCTGGCTCGCCACAACTTCCATCCAAGGGCCCTCGCTGTGGTTTACGGGCTCTGACCACAGGCCACGCCAAAATGCGACAGTATCAGCCTGATCCGGTCCTGGGCCCGCTCCAGATACCTCTGATCGCTCCAATGATTTATAGAGCCTCTTCTGATCACTCTGGAAGAGACGATTCTGGTTGAACCGCCTTGACCTCTCGCTAAATTGTCGAATCCGCTTCCCCCAAGCAGCGATTTTTTGCTTCAGGTCATCTATGCGCTCCGTTAGTTTTTGCGTGATATCCGGCTGGAACAAACTGATATTTGTCCCAGCAAACGCCATCCTAACAGTGCGCATAATCCTCGGTCTATTATTACCCGACCTGAAGCTTGTCAGTCTGCCGATAAGGGCCCTTGCCTTTGCGATACGGTCCTCAATTATTTTTCTCCAGGCTGGGATGGCGCTACTTTTTATTATTATTTGGGGTATCTATATAGTTTTCTCATCTGGTTGGGTTCTATAAATATATAATTATAAATGAAAATGAAAAGATAAATATACATAAATATCAATAACATAAAATAAATATAAAAGTACATAAATAAATAAAAGCCCAACCAGATGGAGGCCCTCGGCAGGGGAGACCCGTTTGGTCTTAACCCGAGGGTTAGGGGGAAAGGGAAAGAAACCGGCGGACGATGCGGGCGGTATCGAGGAGCACCGCCTTCTGCATTTGAACCTGGAGCGGTCCGCCACGTAGTTCCAGCCGCCTCAGATGACGCGAGAGGCTGACTGGGATTAGCCCGTTTGCAGAGACGACTACAGGTATAATTTAGGTCGGCAGACCACCCCACATGTCGGTCACCTCGTGAGCCAGGTCCAGATATTTTGTTTGCTTGTCTGTTTCGGCTTTCACGAGGTTCTCGTCATACGGAATGGTAATGTCGACCAAAAATATCCTTGACTGTGCCCGGTCCATCAGCACAATATCAGGCTTATTCGCAAGAATAGTCCTGTCTGTGATGATGGCCCGGTCCCAATAGAGCCTGGCGCGATCATTTTCGAGCCCGGCTTCCGGCAAGTACTTGAAATACGGCAATTTCTATCCACGAGACCGCATTTCAGAGCGAGCTCCTGGTGTAGAATTCTGGCTACTAGGTTGTGCCTGTTCAAGTACTCAGAGTTAGAAAGCGCCGAACAACCGGAGATAACATGCCTAAGTGACTCACCAGGATGGCGACAAGCTCGACAGATGTCGACGGTGCCATCCTTTAGGATGTATCTCCGATAGTTGTTGGTCTTAATAACCTGATCCTGTATTGCACAGACAAAACCCTCGGTTTCCCCGAAGAGATCACCAAAGCGTAGTCAGTGGAGGGAGGCTACTGTGTCTACGAAAGGCTCATGTAGAGCCTTGTAGAACCTCCCGTGGAGCTCCTTCTCCTTCCATACGATCTCCCGGTCGGAAATGCTCTGCACTGCCGGGTCTTGCCATTGCTCGTTGGCTAAGGATAGAGGGGTAAGTCCTTTATCACAAGAAATGACGTCCTTATAGAATGGATCATCCGATCTCGCCAGGAAGTAATCACGGAGGCCGCACACTTCGCGATTATGCATGGTGAGCGCGCTCAAGAAGCCACGACCACCATGCTTCCGCGGCAAGTACAGCCTCATTACCGACGATCTCGGATGATGCATCCTATGGGACGTCATGGTAGTGCGGACTTTTCTATCCAGGGCGTTAAGTTCAGTCTGAGTCCACCTGAGTATGCCAAAGGTATACATGAGGACAGGCATGACCCAGCCGTTATATGCGTGTGCCTTATTCACACCGGACAAAAGGCTGTTAAGCACTTTGGTCAAGCGTGCATAAAACACGTCGCAAACTGACTATTTCATACCAGTCTCATCGATACCGATGTTTTGCGACATACCCAGGTATCGGTATGTTTCAGCCTCGGAAAGGGTCCTTAAGTTGACGGGCATAGATAAGTCTACACCCTCAGAGTTAGCAACCCTTCCCCTTTCAACATGGTGGACCGCACACTTATCCGTCCCAAGCTCCATTCCAATGGAATTGCTAAATTCACAAGTGATGTTTAGCAATTCCATAAGATGGGAGCGACTGGAGGCGAATAACTTGAGGTCATCCATATAGAAAAGGTGGGTCACTTTTGTCCCTCCTTTCCGTAGCTGAAATCCCCTCCCGGACCCCTCCAGTAAGGTACTGAGAGGGTTAAGAGAAAGGCAGAACCAGATTGGACTCAGACAATCGCCCTGGAAGATACCCCTTCTTATCCTTATGTGGTTCTCCGCAGCCGTCATCCGCTCGCCCAGATGACAAAGAATCGTACTCCACTGCCCCATACACTGCTCGAGGAAGTCTCTAACTGTACAGTCAATCTTGTACAGCTCGAGGACCGATGGGAGCGACTGGAGCGATAATTTGAGGTCATCCATATAGAAAAGGTGGATCACTTTTGTCCCTCCTTTCCGTAGCTGAAATCCCCTCCCGGAGCCCTCCAGTAAGGTACTGAGAGAGGCAGTTATTATTATTATGGGGTATCTATATAGTTTTCTCATCTGGTTGGGTTCTATAAATATATAATTATAAATGAAAATGAAAAGATAAATATACATAAATATCAATAACATAAAATAAATATAAAAGTACATAAATAAATAAAAAGCCCAACCAGATGGAGGCCCTCGGCAGGGGGAGACCAAACGGCCGAGGGTTAGGGGGAAAGGGAAAGAAACCGGCGGACGATGCGGGCGGTATCGAGGAGCACCGCCTTCTGCATTTGAACCTGGAGCGGTCCGCCACGTAGTCCCAGCCGCCTCAGATGACCCGAGAGGCTGACTGGGATTAGCCCGTTTGCAGAGACGACTACAGGAATAATTTCGGTCGGCAGACCACCCCACATGTCGGTCACCTCGTGAGCCAGGTCCAGATATTTTGTTTTCTTGTCTGTTTCGGCTTTCACGAGGTTCTCGTCATACGGAATGGTAATGTCCACCAAAAATATCCTTGACTGTGCCCGGTCCATCAGCACAATATCAGGCTTATTCGCAAGAATAGTCCTGTCTGTGATGATGGCCCGGTCCCAATAGAGCCTGGCGCGATCATTTTCGAGCACGGCTTCCGGCAAGTACTTGTAATACGGCAATTTCCGATCCACGAGACCGTATTTCAGATCGAGCTCCTGGTGTAGAATTCTGGCTACTAGGTTGTGCCTGTGCAAGTACTCAGAGTTAGAAAGCGCCGAACAACCGGAGATAACATGCCTAAGTGACTCACCGGGATGGCGACAAGCTCGACAGATGTCGACGGTGCCATCCTTTAGGATGTATCTCCGATAGTTGTTGGTCTTAATAACCTGATCCTGTATTGCACAGACAAAACCCTCGGTTTCCCCGAAGAGATCACCAAAGCGTAGCCAGTGGAGGGAGGCTACTGTGTCTACGAAAGGCTCATGTAGAGCCTTGTAGAACCTCCCGTGGAGCTCCTTCTCCTTCCATACGGTCTCCCAGTCGGAAATGCTCTGCACTGCCGGGTCTTGCCATTGCTCGTTGGCTAAGGATAGAGGGGTAAGTCCTTTATCACAAGAAATGACGTCCTTATAGAATGGATCATCCGATCTCGCCAGGAAGTAATCACGGAGGCCGCACACTTCGCGATTATGCATGGTGAGCGCGCTCAAGAAGCCACGACCACCATGCTTCCGCGGCAAGTACAGCCTCATTACCGACGATCTCGGATGATGCATCCTATGGGACGTCATGGTAGTGCGGACTTTTCTATCCAGGGCGTTAAGTTCAGTCTGAGTCCACCTGAGTATGCCAAAGGTATACATGAGGACAGGCATGACCCAACCGTTATATGCGTGTGCCTTATTCACACCGGACAAAAGGCTGTTAAGCACTTTGGTCAAGCGTGCATAAAACACGTCGCAAACTGACTGTTTCATACCAGCCTCATCGATACCGATGTTCTGTGACATACCCAGGTATCGGTATGTTTCAGCCTCGGAAAGGATTCTTAAGTTGACGGGCATAGATAAGTCTATGCCCTCAGAGTTAGCAACCCTTCCCCTTTCAACATGGAGAACCGCACACTTATCCGTCCCCAGCTCCATTCTAATAGAGTTGCTAAATTCACACGTGATGTTTAGCAATTCCATAAGATGGGAGCGACTGGAGGCGAATAATTTGAGGTCATCCATATAGAAAAGGTGGGTCACTTTTGTACCTCCTTTCCGAAGCTGAAATCCCTTCCCTGAGCCCTCCAGTAAAGTACTGAGAGGGTTCAAAGAGAGGCAGAACCAGATTGGACTCAGACAGTCGCCCTGGAATATACCCCTTCTTATCCTTATGCGGCTTTCCGCAGCCGTCATCCGCTCGCCTAGATGACAGAGGATCGTACTCCACTGCCCCATACACTGCTCGAGGAAGTCTCGAACTGTACAGTCAATCTTGTACAGCTCGAGGACCCTCTTTAGCCATGTATGGGGCACCGAGTCAAATGCCTTTCTGTAATCTATCCAGGCGGCGGAGAAGTTCCGACGGTTGCGTTTCACCACTTTGCCAATGACCGCGTCAATGAGGAGTGGTTCCTTGGTTCCACGACCGCCGCCCCGACATCCATTTTGAGCGCGCGACATCACCTGATTTAAGTCCAGGTGACGAGCGATTCTTGCGCTCAAAATGGATGTTAGTGTCTTGTATATGGTCGGTAGACACGTGATGGGGCGGTACTTGCTCGGGTCTGTGGCACCCTGATCTTTAGGAACCAAATGAGTGATCCCAGTAGTGAAGAGGCTTGGGAGCGACTTCTGGTTGAGAGCCTCTTGAAACTGTCGGGCGAGCACAGAGTGACACACCATGAACCCCTTCAGCCAGTAGTGATGCAGCCCGTCAAGCCCCGGACTTTTCCAGTTCGGGGCCCTACGGACCGCCTCAGCTACGTCATCCGGCGTTATGATGACGGGGTCCATGGGCGTAATACTCGCACACTGACTCGCCACAACTTCCGTCCAAGGGCCCTCGTTGTGGTTTACGGGCTCTGACCACAGGCTGCGCCAGAATGCGACCATGTCGGCCTGATTTGGTGCAGGGCCCGTTCCACTTACTATTGGTCGCTCCAATGATTTATAGAGCCTCTTCTGATCACTCTGGAAGAGACGATTCTGGTTGAACCGTGTCGACCTCTCGGTATATCGCCGAATCCGCTTTCCCCAAGCAGCTATTCTTTGCTTCAGGTCGTCTATGCGCTCCGTCAGTTTTTGCATTATATCCGGCTGGGACAAACTAACATTTGTCCCAGCAAACGCCATCCTGACGGTGCGCACAATCCTTGGCCTGGTATTGCCTGACCTGAAGCATATCAGTCTGCCGATGAGGGCCCTAGCCTTTGCGATACGTTCTTCAATTCTTATTCTCCAGGCTGGGATAGCACTACTTTGTCCAGTAGCGCGTCCAGCCGTGGAAAGTTTGGCACCTATAATACGGCAGACTGCCAGTGCGGCGCCAAAAAGAATTGAGTCCGTATCGCAAAGGTCCCGGCTGGCTTCCAAATAGGTAACCAGCATTGGGTTCAGAGCCCTCACGACAGCCCGATTCCGCTTGCTTAGGGCTAAGCGGGGAAGTCGCGGTCGATTTTCGAGAGTCGTACTGCGCGTTTCCACAATCGCCTCTTCCAATGTACTCCTCATTTGCTCTAGTTCCAGTTCCTGGGCGACTGTTCCATCATCGTTTGAATCAACCACAACTGGCGTATTCACGGCGGCATCCACATTTGCCGTTTGCTCAGCAAGTTGTGGCGCCGCATCCTCAGCCGCAGCATTTTCACCCGATGAAGGAACAGCCTCACGTCGTAGCCGTTCGAGTTCGGTGACATCAAATGTATTTGAGCGCAAGATATACCGAACTCGGTCTGCCAGGTTTTGCTCGGTGACGGTTACAGATGGCTCCAGCTCAGCAAAAAGTCGATGCATCCTTGCCCGATACGCAAAACCTCCAGTTTCTCCCCCTTTCGCCCTAAAATACGCCCGCAATGCGTTGCTGTTCATCTGGGTTGTCCAACGCATGCGGCGTACTCCACCAGTGGCGGGTGCCGATTGCTGAGCCCGCGAAGACCCTGCCGACACCAAGCCAGCTGGTGGGGATGATGGATGCGAGGAGCTGCTGGGTGGTCAGCACCGCGCTCGGCTGTGCTGTCGCGTCCAGCGCCAGCTCCAGACGCGCCCTGGCGACCTCCAGGCAGCGGCCCTTTGCGCGTTCCATTTGATTCCATCATCCATTTTAGGGCGTCATTTAGCGGGAGACGCCCAGACCCGGCGCCGTTTCATGGTTAGGCCATGTGCACAAGCGGGCCTTGGCACCTTCAATTTTTGCCGAGGCACGGCACTAACACCTCTTGGCAAGGTGCTGACTGACTGCGCCGACGTAGCGGTTTTGTCACATAACCGTTATATCAGCGGGCGATGGGGTCGTCACTTCCCTACGCCTTATTATTATTATGTGTGGGGTATCTATATAGTTTTCTCATCTGGTTGGGATGTATAAATATATAATTATAAACGAAAATGAAAAGATAAACATACAAAAATATCAATAAAATAAAATAAATATGAAAATACATAAATAAATAAAAGCCCAACCAGATGGAAGCCCTCGGCAGGGGAGACCAAACGGCCGAGGGTTAGGGGGGAAAGGGAAAGAAACCGGCGGACGATGCGGGCGGTATCGAGGAGCACCGCCTTCTGCATTTGAGCCTGGAGCGGTCCGCCACGTAGTCCCAGCCGCCTCAGATGACCCGAGAGGCTGACTGGGATTAGCCCGTTTGCAGAGACGACTACAGGAATAATTTCGGTCGGCAGACCACCCCACATGTCGGTCACCTCGTGAGCCAGGTCCAGATATTTTGTTTGCTTATCTGTTTCGGCTTTCACGAGGTTCTCGTCACACGGAATGGTAATGTCGACCAAAAATATCCTTGACTGTGCCCGGTCCATCAGCACAATATCAGGCTTATTCGCAAGAATAGTCCTGTCTGTGATGATGGCCCGGTCCCAATAGAGCCTGGCGCGATCATTTTCGAGCACGGCTTCCGGCAAGTACTTGTAATACGGCAACTTCCGATCCACGAAACCGTATTTCAGAGCGAGCTCCTGGTGTAGAATTCTGGCTACTAGGTTGTGCCTGTGCAAGTACTCAGAGTTAGAAAGCGCCGAACAACCGGAGATGACATGCCTAAGTGACTCACCGGGATGGCGACAAGCTCGACAGATGTCGATGGTGCCATCCTTTAGGATGTATCTCCGATAGTTGTTGGTCTTAATAACCTGATCCTGTATTGCACAGACAAAACCCTCGGTTTCCCCGAAGAGGTCACCAAAGCGTAGCCAGTGGAGAGAGGTTACTGTGTCTACGAAAGGCCCATGTAGAGACTTGTAGAACCTCCCGTGGAGCTCCTTCTCCTTCCATACGGTCTCCCGGTCGGAAATTGTCTGCACTGCCGGGTCTTGCCATTGCTCGTTGGCTAAGGATAGAGGGGTAAGTCCTTTATCACAAGAAATGACGTCCTTATAGAATGGATCATCCGATCTCGCCAGGAAGTAATTACGGAGGCTGCACACTTCGCGATTATGCATGGTGAGCGCGCTCAAGAAGCCACGCCCACCATGCTTTCGCGGCAAGTACAGCCTCATTACCGACGATCTCGGATGATGCATCCTGTGGGACGTCATGGTAGTGCGGACTTTTCTATCCAGGGCGTTAAGTTCAGTCTGAGTCCACCTGAGTATGCCAAAGGTATACATGAGGACAGGTATGACCCAGCCGTTATATGCTTGTGTCTTATTCACACCGGACAAAAGGCTGTTAAGCACTTTGGTCAAGCGTGCATAAAACACGTCGCAAACTGACTGTTTCATACCAGCCTCATCGATACCAATGTTCTGTGACATACCCAGGTATCGGTATGTTTCAGCCTCGGAAAGGGTCCTTAAGTTGACGGGCATAGATAAGTCTATGCCCTCAGAGTTAGCAACCCTACCCCTCTCAACATGGAGGACCGCACACTTATCCGTCCCCAGCTCCATTCCAATGGAATTGCTAAATTCACAAGTGATGTTTAGCAGTTCCATAAGATGGGAGCGACTGGAGGCGAATAACTTGAGGTCATCCATATAGAAAAGGTGGGTCACTTTTGTCCCTCCTTTCCGTAGCTGAAATCCCCTCCCGGAGCCCTCCAGTAAGGTACTGAGAGGGTTCAGAGAGAGGCAGAACCATATTGGACTCAGACAATCGCCCTGGAAGATACCCCTTCTTATCCTTATGTGGTTCTCCGCAGCCATCATCCGCTCGCCCAGATGACAAAGGATCGTACTCCACTGCCCCATACACTGCTCGAGGAAGTCTCTAACTGTACAGTCTATCTTGTACAGTTCGAGGACTCTCTTTAGCCATGTATGGGGCACCGAGTCGAATGCCTTTCTGTAGTCTATCCAGGCGGCGGAGAAGTTCCGACGGTTGCGTTTCACCACTTTGCCAATGACCGCGTCAATGAGGAGTGGTTCCTTGGTTCCACGACCGCCGCCCCGACATCCATTTTGAGCGCGCGACATCACCTGATTTGAGTCCAGGTGACGAGTGATTCTCGCGCTCAAAATGGATGTTAGTGTCTTGTATATGGTCGGTAGACACGTGATGGGGCGGTACTTGCTCGGGTCTGTGGTACCCTGGCCTTTAGGAACCAAATGGGTGATCCCAGTAGTGAAGAGGCTCGGGAGCGACTTCTGGTTGAGAGCCTCTTGAAACTGTCGGGCGAGCACAGAGTGACACACCATGAACCCCTTCAGCCAGTAGTGATGCAGCCCGTCGAGTCCCGGACTTTTCCAGTTCGGGGCCCTACGGACCGCCTCAGCTACGTCATCCGGCGTTATGGTGACGGGGTCCATGGGCGTAATACCCGCACACTGACTCGCCACAACTTCCGTCCAAGGGCCCTCGTTGTGGTTTACGGGCTCTGACCACAGGCTGCGCCAGAATGCGACCGTGTCGGCCTGATTCGGTACTGGGCCCGTTCCACTTACCATTGGTCGCTCCAATGATTTATAGAGCCTCTTCTGATCACTCTGGAAGAGACGATTCTGGTTGAACCGTGTCGACCTCTCGGTATATCGCCGAATTCGCTTTCCCCAAGCAGCGATTCTCTGCTTCAGGTCGTCTATGCGCTCCGTCAGTTTTTGCATTATATCCGGCTGGGACAAACTAACATTTGTCCCAGCAAACGCCATCCTGACGGTGCGCACAATCCTTGGCCTGGTATTGCCTGACCTGAAGCATATCAGTCTGCCGATGAGGGCCCTAGCCTTTGCGATACGTTCTTCAATTCTTGTTCTCCAGGCTGGGATAGCACTACTTTGTCCAGTAGTGCGTCCAGCCGTGGAAAGTTTGGCGCCTATAATACGGCAGACTGCCAGTGCGGCGCCAAAGAGAATTGAGTCCGTCTCGCAAAGGTCCCGGCTGGCTTCCAAATAGGTCACCAGCATTGGGTTCAGAGCCCTCACGACAGCCCGATTCCGCTTGCTTAGGGCTATGCGGGGAAGTCGCGGTCGATTTTCGAGAGGCGTACTGCGCGTTTCCATAATCGCCTCTTCCAATGTACTCCTCATTTGCTCTATTTCTAGTTCCTGGGTGAATGTTCCATCATCATTTGAATCAGCAACCACTGGGGTATTCTCGGCGGCATCCACGTGTGCGGGTTGTTCTGCAACTTGTGGCACCGCACCCTCAGTCGTAGCGTTTTCATTTGATGAGGGAACAGCCTCACGTCGTAGCCGTTCGAGTTCGGCGCCATCAAATATATTTGAGCGTAAGATATACCGAACTCGGTCTGCCAGGTTTTGCTCGGTGACAGTAATAGATGGCTCCAGCTCAGTAAAAAGACGATGCATCCTAGCCCGATACGCGAAACCTCCAATTTCTCCCCCTTTCGCCCTAAAATACGCCCGCAATGCGTTTGAATTCATATTGATGGTCCATCGCATGCGGCGTACTCCACCAGTGGCGGGTGCCGATTGCTGGGCCTGGAAGACCCTGCCGACACCAAGCAAGCTGGTGGGGATGATGGATGCGAGGGGCTGCTGGGTGGTCGTGCAGCACCTCGCGCTCGGCTGGCGGTTCGCATGCTGTCGCGTCCAGCGCCAGCTCCAGACGCGCCCTGACGACCTCCAGGCAGCGGCCCTTTGCGCAATCTTCTATGTTCCATCATCCATACAGGGCGTCATTTAACGGGAGACGCCCAGACCCGGCGCCGTTTCATGGTGAGGCCATATGCACAAGCGGGCCCTTGCACCATCAATTTTTGCCGAGGCACGGCGCTCACACCTCTTGGCAAGGTGCTGACTGACTGCGCGGACGTAGCGGTTTTGTCACATAACCGTCACGTCAACGGGCGATGGGGTCGTCACTTCCCTACGCCAACTGTTTATTTTACCAAGTTTATTATTATTATTATTATGTGTGGGGTATCTATATAGTTTTCTCATCTGGTTGGGATGTATAAATATATAATTATAAACGAAAATGAAAGGATAAATATACATAAATATCAATAAAATAAAATAAATACAAAAATACATAAATAAATAAAAGCCCAACCAGATGGAAGCCCTCGGCAGGGGAGACCAAACGGCCAAGGGTTAGGAAGAAAGGGAAAGAAACCGGCGGACGATGCGGGCAGTATCAAGGAGCACCGCCTTCTGCATTTGAGCCCGGAGCGGTCCGTCACGGAGTCCCAGTCGCCTCAGATGACCAGAGAGGCTAACTGGGATTAGCCCATTCGCAGAGACGACTACAGGAATAATTTCGGCCGGCAGACCACCCCACATGTCCGTCACCTCGTGAGCCAGGTCCAGATATTTTGATTGCTTATCTGTTTCGGCTCTCACGAGGTTCTCGTCATACGGGATGGTAATATCGACCAAAAATATCCTTGACTGTGCCCGGTCCATCAGCACAATATCAGGCTTATTCGCAAGAATAGTCCTGTCTGTGATGATGGCCCGGTCCCAGTAGAGCCTGGCGCGGTCATTTTCGAGCACGGCTTCCGGCAAGTACTTGTAATACGGCAATTTCCGGTCCACGAGACCGTATTTCAGAGCGAGCTCCTGGTGTAGAATTCTGGCTACAAGGTTGTGCCTGTGCAAGTACGCAGAGTTAGAAAGCGCCGAACAACCGGAGATGACATGCCTAAGTGACTCCCCGGGATGGCGACAAGCTCGACAGACGTCGACGGTGCCATCCTTTAGGATGTATCTCCGATAGTTGTTGGTCTTAATAACCTGATCCTGCATTGCACAGACAAAACCCTCGGTTTCCCCGAAGAGGTCACCGAAACGTAGCCAGTTGAGGGAGGCGACTGTATCTACGAAGGGCTCATGTAGAGCCTTGTAGTACCTCCCGTGGAGCTCCTTCTCCTTCCATACGGTCTCCCGGTCGGAATTGCTAAGCACTGCTGGGTCCTGCCATTGCTCGTTGGCTAAGGATAGAGGGGTAAGCCCTTTATCACTAGAAATGACGTCATTATAGAATGGATCATCCGATCTCGCCAAGAAGTACTGACGGAGACTGCACACTTCGCGATTATGCATGGTGAGCGCGCTCAGAAAGCCACGCCCACCATACTTCCGCGGCAAGTACAGCCTCATTACCGACGATCTCGGATGATGCATCCTATGGGACGTCATGGTAGTGCGGACTTTTCTATCCAGGGCGTTAAGCTCAGTCTGAGTCCACCTGAGTATGCCAAAGGTATACATGAGGACAGGCATGACCCAGCCGTTATATGCATGTGTTTTATTCACACCGGACAAAAGGCTGTTAAGCACTTTGGTCAAGCGTGCATAAAACACGTCGCAAACTGACTGTTTCATACCAGCCTCATCGATACCGATGTTCTGTGACATACCCAGGTATCGGTATGTTTCAGCCTCGGAAAGGGTCCTTAAGTTGACGGGCATAGACAAGTCTATGCCCTCAGAGTTAGCAACCCTTCCCCTTTCAACATGGAGGACCAAACACTTATCCGTCATCAGCTCCATTCCAATGGAACTGCTAAATTCACAAGTGATGTTTAGCAGTTCCATAAGATGGGAGCGACTGGAAGCGAATAACTTGAGGTCATCCATATAAAAAAGGTGGGTCACTTTTGTCCCTCCTTTCCGTAGCTGAAATCCCCCTCCCGGAGCCCTCCAGTAAGGTACTGAGAGGGTTAAGAGAGAGGCAGAACCAGATTGGACTCAGACAATCGCCCTGGAAGATACCCCTTCTTATCCTTATGTGGTTCTCCGCAGCCGTCATCCGCTCGCCCAGATGACAAAGGATCGTACTCCACTGCCCCATACACTGCTCGAGGAAGTCTCTAACTGTACAGTCAATCTTGTACAGCTCGAGGACCCTCTTTAGCCATGTATGGGGCACCGAGTCGAACGCCTTTCTGTAGTCTATCCAGGCGGCAGAGAAGTTCCGACGGTTGCGTTTCACCACTTTGCCTATGACCGCGTCAATGAGGAGTGGTTCCTTAGTTCCACGACCACCGCCCCCGACATCCATTTTGAGCGCGTGACATCACCTGGTTTAGCTCCAGGTGACGAGTGATTCTCGCGCTCAAAATGGATGTCAGTGTCTTATATATGGTGGGTAGACACGTGATGGGGCGGTATTTGCTCGGGTCTGTGGTATCCTGATCTTTAGGAACCAAGTGAGTGATCCCAGTAGTGAAGAGGCTCGGGAGTGACTTCTGGTCGAGAGCCTCTTGAAACTGTCGGGCGAGCACAGCGTGACACACTTATTATTATTATTATTATTATTATTATTATTATTGTTATGGGGTATCTATATAGTTTTCTCATCTGGTTGGGTTCTATAAATATATAATTATAAATGAAAATGAAAAAATAAATATACATAAATATCAATAACATAAAATAAATATAAAAGTACATAAATAAATAAAAGCCCAACCAGATGGAGGCCCTCGGCAGGGGAGACCAAACGGCCGAGGGTTAGGGGGAAAGGGAAAGAAACCGGCGGACGATGCGGGCGGTATCGAGGAGCACCGCCTTCTGCATTTGAACCTGGAGCGGTCCGCCACGTAGTCCCAGCCGCCTCAGATGACCCGAGAGGCTGACTGGGATTAGCCCATTTGCAGAGACGACTACAGGAATAATTTCGGTCGGCAGACCACCCCACATGTCGGTCACCTCGACGACCTTATTATTATTATTATTATTATTATATTTTGTACATATCTATATTCTCCCTATTAAAGAGGTAACTTAAAAACTAATCACACGGGCCGAAGCCAAGCGTGAGCAGGCGCTAGGTGATGGTGTAAGCAGAGGTGACGGATGACGTGATGAGGAATTTGCGTGTGAGTCGGCAGGTGTTGAGGATGACAGCTTTCTGCAGTGTGTGAAGTGTCTGTTGGGGTACTTGCAAAATATCTAGACTGCGTTGTAGGCTTTTAGGTATAACTCCGGTAGATGAGATAACTATTGGGACTATATGGATGGTTTCTGCTCTCCATTGACGCTTGAGTTCTATAGCTAAATCTTGATATTTTGTAAGTTTTTCAGCTATGGTGGATTGAATGTTATGAGTGTTTGGTATGGCAATGTCAATAAGGTAAGTAGTTTTGTTATTTTTGTCATACACTGTGATATCGGGCCTATTGAAGTGAATAGTTTTATCCGTGATAATGGTCCTGTCCCAGTAAATTCTATGATTATTGTTTTCTAATATGGTGTCCGGCTTATATTTGTAATATGGTGTCATTTTTTGTATGAATTTAAATTTAAGGGCTAGATATTGGTGTATTATGGAGGCAACCTGGTCATGCCGATGCTTATAGTCGGTTTGTGCAAGGGCTCTACAGGCGGATGTTATGTGTTGTATGTTTTCGGGGCTAGAGTGGCAATGTCTGCAAATATCAGTGGGGAGGTTAGGTGCACGTATTATGTGTCTCTGAAAGTTTCGGGTATCGATGACCTGGTCCTGGATCGCTAACATGAATGCCTCCGTCTCTGGGAAGAGTTCACCGCGCCTCAGCCAGGCGTTCGACGCTTTTTTGTCGACATGTGACAGCTGCAGGTCGTGGTAGTGCCTTCCGTGTAGGGACTTCTGTTGCCATGAGGCCATCTTCTCTTTTACGTCAGTGATCCGTTCACTACGTTGTGTGTTTCGGTCCGCGAGGTTAAGTGGTGTGAAGCGTTTGTCGGCTAAGGTTACTATTTCGTGGAGAAGTGAGTGTTCTGAGCGTTGATGGAAATATTGTCGAAGGGATTTGATTTGTTTATTGTGCAAGTTGAGGACATCTATTATACCTCGTCCTCCCTCGGATCTTGAAAGAGTCATCCTTTGCACGCATGATCTAGGATGGTGCTTGCGGTGAGTCGTTAGAGTGGTATTTATAATACTGTTGCATGAATAAGTCAACTAGCGCCATCTAGTGTCAGGAACGAGAGCGAGGGGAGCATTGAGAAAATGACATCACAAATCGCTCAACTGACAGCGCCTAGTCGAAACTCGAACGCTCGGTACCTTCCGCGTGTTTACTTGAACATTCTGGATATTTCTTTGCTAATTTAAATATATAGGCGCTGCAAGATGCGATGGAGGCAGTATTGGATTTGGCGAGACAAGCGAAGCTTCGGAGCGGAATAAAGTGAATTAGTGTGTTTAATTATTAGTGTTTTAAGTTTTGTGTAAAGTAAATTAAAGTGTTAATTTAGGTAATTTTATCGGCAATTTTTATTGTCACGAACCTCAAGCTCGTAACAATTGGTGTCAGAAGTGGGATAAAATCATGCCGATTTTACCTAAGGAGGAAACGGAGGGTGTCCGTACCCGAAGTCAACGCCAGCAGGAGACGGACCAACGAAGATTTGGTGGT